TTCAGTTACAAAAAAGTGCTAAAATAATTTGCTGCTTTAAACACATTTTTACTTTTTTTCCTTATAAATATTTTGGTAAACCTGGGAGAAATTCATGACACATGAAGAAATCACTGAATGTAGATATTTTTTCCCACAAAAATGACCTCCTGACTTTCCTCAGCTTCTGTATGGGATTTTTGGTGTCATTTGGCAGTTGCTGGAGGACTGTGGTCCCTTGCAGTCTGTGTAGTGGGGAGCGTAAGGACCATTTGTGCTTGCAGGACAGCATGAGCTCTGCCACTGCTTTCACGTCCTTCTCTCTTCTCCTTGTCCATGGAGGCAGCTGGGCTGATAAACTTCAGCTATCTATCTCATTAGCAAGCTGGTCCTCATCCCTGGGAGCTGGGCTTTTTTAAAGGTGCCTGGGCACCTGAAGACACGGGTGCACCACTGGGAGCCTGGCAGGCACAGAATAGCCTGTGTCCAGGATGTTCACCACCCTCTGAATCGGGGGCTGATCCGGCCCTGGGCACTGCCAGCTTCTGTGCCTGGGGATCATTCGAGAGGCTGCTGGCTGCTGGCTGAAACCTCCCTGGGAAATGCTGTACCACTTATTCGTACAGATGGCTGAGCTTTGGTGCCCACCCATGTTCCCTGGCACGGGCTCTTTCCCTGGCACAGGCAGCAGCGGTGGCAATTCCAGGCACACATCTCCAGCTGGCCAGGACAATGAATATCATCTGCCCAGCGTCACCCTCGATAGCACTGACCGTGCTTTTCTAGGTCCCTGAAGCAGTGATGCCACTGCAGCATCAATCCAGCCATCCTGCAGCTCTCTCGGCCACTTGTACTGGCCCTGAGCTCTGACACAGCCAGGTATCACGTCTTATTTTGTGTAGCAATCCCAAATACCTGCAATACTAAACAAGATTTAACACAGTGGGACTTCTGCAGGGGGGCTGGACTAGGTGACCTTTAGAGGTCCCTTCCAACCCAAACTATTCTGATTCTATGGTTCTATAACAGGCCCTGCTAAAAAGTTTGTCCCCATCTTTCTTATAAGCCCCCTTTAAGTACTGATAGGCTGCAAGAAGGTCTCCCCGAAGCCTTCTCTTCTCTAGGTTG